CCAGGCCAGAGCTCAGGTTCTGAGTTCAAGCCCCATGACTGACAAAATAAAATTTAAAAGTAATAGCCCCTATAAGGAAATAATGGTTTTTAGAAATCATCACTCACTTAAAAGGTTTTTTTTTTTTATTTCCTACAAACACATTTTGTTTTCCTAGTTGAACTGTAACTTCAGGAACATCCTACAACATTTAGTAAATATAACTACTCCCTTTGTAAATGAAATCTGTCCTTTAAACATGGAACAGAATTCCAACACACATATAAAAGATGAGCAAACACAGGGTAAAAACAGAATGAAAACTCAAATGAGTCTCAGAGATTTTTAACAGGGAGTTATCAACAAGGAAAATGGAAACCTTGGTTTTATAATTAGTTCAATCTGTAGAATACAGATTCTTTGTGGTATTAAACCAAACCCAATGCAAACCACAGAGTCTGGAATAAGATTAAAAAATATTTACAAATATCTGACTGAGTATATACAATATGGCTTGGCCAAAAACAAAATTCTCACACACAATAATCACTGCAAGAAATCCCACAGGTTATAGAAAACATAAAGGAACTTTAATATCCCAACAGTCAGGGTAAAGAATACTGGATTAATGACCCATTAAGAGTGAATCACTTCAGGTTCTGTACAGTACCAGAGTAAAATCTGAATGCATATTGCAGAGAATGAAATCATTTTAGAAACGTTAATTTTCTTACCTGATACTAATACCAGTGCAGTATTTTTTTGGATTGAAAAATTATTAAATGATTTAACACTAAGATTTAAACCAAAGTTAGCATTGTTCCTGAAACGGTGAAGCTGTTCAGCAGTAACCTTTTCACTATGAAAACTGGCACTACTTTCTTCTCAAAGAGAAGTTAATGTACATTTTAAGACTTGTGCAATAACACAATGTACTGGCTAACAAAAAAATTATATTTCTTGAAATTTGAAGTAGAGCTGTGGCTCAAGTGGTAGAGCACCAGCCTTCAGCCATAAAGCTCAGGGCCAGAGCCAAGGCCCTGAGTTCAAGTCCCAGGACCTATATTAAAAAAAAAAAATTATGGGTTGGGAATGTGGCTTAGTGGTAAGAGTACTTGCCTTGCATGCATGAAGCCCTGGGTTTTATTCCTCAGTACCACATAAACAGAAAAAGCTGAAGTGGTGCTATGGCTCAAGTGGTAAAACACTAACCGTAAGCACAAAAGCTCAGGGATAGCACTCAGGTCCAGAGAAAATTACATTACTTGAAATAGCCAAAATGAAAGGAAAAGTATACTTTCATTCAGATTTAATTACTATCATGCCCAAATAAATTGCCCTGCAGTCATGAGTTACACAGGAAATAAAATTAGTTTTAAATAAGAGAAAATGAGTCCTTAAAATAGAAATATAAGCCAAAATAATCTAAAAGTTGCTTCCTGATTTATTTTTCAGCATTTAAGCTGTGTATGGTTATATGCCCTGATCTGTAGAAGTTATCAAGGAAATAACATTTCCAAAGTTTCTAAATATTTAAAAATTTTACTCATCTTTCATAAAGCAAATTTTAATGTATCAATACTTAAAAATACACAGTGACTTAGGAAACATCAGTATGACTGCATAGAATTGAGCTCCAGAGAATTATACGCTTAGCGCTGTCTTTCCTGGGCTTTGGGTACTGGGATATATTGGCTTTAGAGACCAGCTTAGAGTCATCTGCTCCAACCAGGAAGACATAGACCAGGAAACTCTCAGACCTTTTTTTTTCTGTTTCTAAGTAAAATGCTAGGAGCTCTCTAACCAGCCATTAAAATTCATATACAAGGGATCTTTCCTCTCTGAGTCAAGGAGGAAAAAAAGGTGAAAGAGGTTTGTGACCTTTTCTGAAAACAAAACAAACTAAAACTCCCACAATTCTTCTAAGAGACTCTGAAATGTACTAGAAATTTCAAAACGAGAACAATGCCATCAAAGATTCAACTTCTTAATGCTTGGAGCCACTCCAAAATAATAAAGTTGGAAACTCCAAGATAGGTAACAAAAGAATCAAAATAATGATTGCACTGAAGATTCGCTTCTTTGAAGACTATTTAAGGAGGTAGGATTTTAAGGTTTGGTGTTTTTTGTTGTTGTTTTGTTGTTGTTGTTGTTTTATCTTTTGGCCTCTGAACATTAAAAAAAAAAAACAAAACTTTGCCTGGCTGGTCCATCGAGCTGATTTTGGAGTTCATAATGAATTCCAAGCCTGACATACAATATTTTAGTTTCACAGCTATCGTTTGTACACATTAAAATTAAGTTGATTTACTCTTAAGTAAATCTAACTAGAAAACAGAAAATTAATATACTCCTTTACGTATGACTTCGTGTCTCAAAATTCTTGAAAAACAAGAGCAAATGACTTTGTATTCAAAGACTATCAAAGTATGTATTTGATATTCACATGCATACAACTTAAAACCTTCTAAATCTCATGTCAACTCTGAATGATGCCTTTAAGAAGAAAATGACATACAAAGTTTGCTAACTGTGCAAAAATATTAACTTGCTAAAACATTTTACATTAAGGAAATAATACATGTAAATGTAAAAGATGACACATAAAATTGACATGGCATAAGAACATCACATTTCAGAGATTTTCCTTAGTAACAAGTTTTTGTTCTTATAGTTCCTGGTACACACAAAGTTTGTTATAGAAGAAAAGTCCTTTAAACATATCTGACAGGGAACTCTTGAGGCACCTTCTCATATAAAACACAAAATGAATTACAATTATCAATCCATCTGAGAAAAGTTTCAATCTAAGTGAGCATCATTCCTTTCCATTTGTATATTTTACAGAACTTTAGTAAGGCAGGACAAATTTGTGAAAAAAAGTAGAATATAAAAATGATGTAAACTAATAATTTATATTTTAAAAAAACCCCTAAGGGATAATAAAGAAGACAGAATAGTTCAAACAATGCCTTTTTTTTTAACCTAAAAGAGAATTGTGCACAAGCTGAAGATTATGAAGAACTTCTAGACTTTGCACAGGTTTGGTTTTTCTCTTTTTCTTTTCTTTTTAAAAATCTTTATATTATGTTTTAAATCATACCAGGAATGCAAACTAGAACTGCACACTACTTTAGTGGAAAAAAAGTTTAAAATTGTGCAATTTTCTGCCTCTTAATTTTTAAAAAGTGGCAGCAATCCCTGCATTTCTACTTGAAACAAGGATCTGAGAAACTTTATCAAAAAAGTTAATGAAGGCAAAAATTGGCAGACATCCAGCATCTTGTTTCGTTTTTAAACAGTGTGGATGATAAGTATTTTCATGATTAAAAAATGAATTTTAAAATAAATACATTGTATCTGACATTTGCACTGACTGATTTGATAAATCTTTAAGTAAACAACTGGCTTTACTATACTTTCTGTAGCCTCAAGCCACTGGCTTTAGATTCTGGAGTCCTTTTTCACTGGGTTTCATACCCTGCCACTCGGTATCCAGCAGGCTGACTAGGCAACATGCTGCCATTTTGCCCTTGAGGTGGCTGCACTCCATAATTTGGTCCCATCCAAGGTGCGGAAGATGGTGTCTGACTAGTAGGAGAATAGGAAAGAAGCAGAGAAATCACCGGTTAAAACAATGTTATGCCGAGAACAAATAACAAATACATGCGAGAGAGAAATATTCTTTTTCTTAGACCCAAAATGAAAATACCTGTTACATCAGAAAAAGCAAGGGCAAAAGTAAAAGTTCTTGCTTTCAAAAGCAGGCATCACCTACATTTAATCTGAGCAGCTTAACTTCCTAAGAAATTATAGCTAAGAAAATAGCCTTAATCTATAAGTATTTATTTAACTCAGAAAAACCCATCTTCCATTTCAGAAAGGCAAACTCTATCATTTGATATATGACTTAACCAAAAAAAAAAGGGACGGAGCGTAGGAGGGGTGGAGAGTAATTCAAATGGTAGAGTGCCTGCTGAACAAACATAAGGCAACCACTTAAAACCTCAGGTTAAGGGCTGGGAAGATGGCTCATTGGTGGAGTGCTTGTCTTGCATGCAAGAGGCCTTGCGTTCAATTCCTCAGCACCACATAAGAAGAAAAAGCTGGAAGTGGCGCTGTGGCTCAAGTGGTAGAGGGCTAGCCTTGAGCTGAAGAGCTCAGGGACAGTGCCCAGGTCCAGAGTTCAGGCTCCACGACTGACAAAAAAAACCTCAGGTTAAAAAAAAATAAGAACTACCGTTTAAATTATTAAAAAAGGGTTGGGAAAGTGGCACTGTGGCTCAAGTGGTAGAGTACTAGCCCTGAGTGAAAAAGCGCAGGGACAGCACCCAGGTCCTGAGTTCAAGCCCTATGACCACCATCAACAACCAAAAAGTTAACTTATTACTAAATATTACCAAAATTTGTATGAACAATTGTAACTTAGAGCAAAATTTTAGTTTTTTTTTAAACATAAAAGCTAGTTAAGAAGTGCTATTCCTTATGGAAAATGTCATCTCTTTTTTTTGCTTTCCCCTAGTTTCCATTTCAGAAAGGTAAACTCTATCATTTGATATATGACTTAACCAAAAAGCAAGAACTTTTCCCCTCAAGTTGCAATTCATTTTCCATATAATGTATACTGAATACCATGACTGCATTTGTTCACCTTTCCGCTCTCCATTTTTTTTTTTGGTCCAGTGGTGGGGCCTGAACTCTGGGCCTGGGGCTGTCCCTCAGCTCTTCAGCTCAAGGCTAGTGCTCTACCACTTGAGTCACAGTGCCACTTCTGGGTTTTTTCTTTTTGCTTATGTGGTGCTGAGGAATCGAACCCAGGGCCTCAGGCATGCAAGGCAAGCACTCTACCACTGAGCCACCTTCCCAGCCCCCACTCTCCATTTTTGCATCTCCCTTCTGTACCCCTAAAACAAAACAAAAAAAAAACAGCCGGGTGCCAGTAGCTTACGCCTGTAATCCTAGCTACTAAAGAGACTGTGATCTGAGGATCATGGTTCAACTCCACCCAGGCAGGAAAGTCCATGAGATTCTTATCTCTAATAAACTACCAGAAAAGTGGAAGTGGCACTGTGGCTAGAGCGCTAGTCTTGAGGTGAAGAGCTGGGACAGCAACCAGGTCCAGAGTTCAAGCCCCATAACGGAAGGGAAGGAGGGAGGGAGGGAACCCCAAACACCCCCCAAAAACAAAGACCCCTAGTACCACCACTAAAAAAAACAACTTGTTTCCATTTCCTGGAATCCATTTTGATAAACAGCATTTTATATTTTTATTTTTGTTTTGGGAGAGTCAGTTGGGGGAGTCTGATCTTAAGCCTAGGCACTGTCCCTGAGCTATTTTACTCCAGGATAGTGCTCTACCACTTGGAGCCATGGTACCACTTCCAGTTTTCTGGTGGTTAACTGGAGCTAAGAATCTCACAAACTTTCCTCCATAGGCTGGCTTTGAACAGTGATCCTCAGATTTCAGTCTTCCAAGTAGCTAGAATTATAGGTCGGAGCCACTGGCACTTAGTGATAAATAGCATTTATCACTAATGTTTGGAGCAATCAGCTGCACTGGACATAGATGAAAATGAACTAAGCAACTCAAAGACAGTGATTCGAGGGAAGGAATGAGAGGGAAAGAGGAACAGCTTACACTAAGTAAAAAGAAAGAAATGTAAATATCACCTGATGTGGAAGAAATAGGTGTAATGTCACAAACTTTATAGACCATGATAATAACAATTTGCTTTGTGAAGGTTAAAATGTGTTTGTGATTTTAAGTACCACTATTCCACAATACTGTGAAACATGTGAAATTTATACAATCATCTAATCTCAGTTAAAAAAAAATGTGGAGCAGTTATGCCTTTGGGTTCTTTACAAGGTAAAATTTTAAAGAGAAATATATAAAAGTATAAATTAAAAATCATTCTAAAGTCCTTTAAAGGTTATAATTATGTATTACAGTCATAATTATACCATATTACCTGTCCATTATTTAAATTTTCTTTTTGATATTTTCTACAGGAAAAGTTTGATTGTACTTACTTAAAGCCTTGCTGGTTCCATGCCTGGCCATACATTCCATATGCAGGTACTTGCCAACCATTAGGCATGTACTGGCCAATCTGTTGTGCATTTCCATACCACTGGCCCCACTGGCCATAAGGTTGTGGATATCCAATTTGATTCTGCTATTAAGTAAAATTATAACAGATAACTTAGTATTAGTTGAAGTTACCTGTATATCCCCTTATTCCTAATATACCACCCTTGGGCAAGACACAAGAGGTCATCATGACAATTAGTATATACTTAAAAAAAAATAGAAGAAATTATAGGGGTAGATTTGTAGCTCAGTGGCAGAGAATTTGCCTATAATGTTAAAGAGCCTTGATTAAATTCTCAGTGCCATGCAAAAAAAGAAGAAAAAAAAGAGAGCTAATTGCTTAAACTCTACAAAATGCTCTAAATGGCATAGTTTTTATAAGGCAGCATGTGATGCTCTAATAATAAATAATAAACTAACTATAATGTTTTAAGCGTTTGGTAAATTATCCACATGATTACTTTCTTTAGATTGGGAAAATAAAAAAGTTACTTATTCCTACATTAAGCTTACTTAAGAATTCTATGTTTAGGATTTTTGTCCTCCCACCTCTATGCTCCATTTACAACTTCCTCATAGAAGTGATTGAGGGATCACGGTTGAACCACTTAAAGTTGACTAGAAAAACAAAAACAGCAAATCTGGAAGAAAATGCTAAGGTCCTAAATACACTTATAGCTTTGTGAATAAATATCTACCAAGTATTAAAAAAAGATTTAATACCCTGTTAGGTTTGTCGGAGTATTTTAAAATCCACTGTGTGAGCATGAGTCAATTGAGGCGGTTACACTCATCATGTCACCACTGCAATCCATGAAACACCACTCTGGAACTATAATACACGTAGGAAGAGCCCTTATATACTATGAATTGAGCTTGAAACTTATTAACAAGGATTATCAACAATCTTAACTTTTAAATTAACTGAAAGCTAGCCTAGCAATCACTTCCCATAGTCAAGGACCCTCTCACCTGTTGCACAGGATTAATCATATCAAGAGTCTCTTTGCCCCAATAGCATTTCACAACATGACCTTCAATGGTAGTACCATTAACAGAAACAATTGCATGTGCTGCACTTTCATGGGAATTGAACCTATTGAAAACAATATTAAGAATCACCAATATAAATTATTTTAAATGTTTATGAGTAAAACCTATTTTTTTTAAATTAAGCTAAAAGCTGGGTGTCAGTGATTCACATCTATAATCTTAGCTACTAAGGAGGCTGAATCTGAGGATTGCAGTTCAAAGTTAGCCAAGGCAGGAGAGTCAGAGAAACTTTAATTTCTTTCATTCTTTTTTTTTTTTGGGGGTCCGGTCATGGGGCCTGAACTCTGGGCCTGGATGCTGTCCCTCAGCTCTTCAGCTCAAGGCTAGCACTCTACCACTTGAGCCATAGCGCCACTTCCACCTTTTTTTTTTTCTGCTTATGTGGTGCCGAGGAATCGAACCCAGGGCCTCATGCATGCAAGGCAAGAGCTCTACCACTGAGCCACCTTCCCAGCCTGAGACTTTTATTTCTAACCACCAAAAATCTGGAAGTGGAGCTGTGACTCAAGTGGTAAAGTGGAAGCCTTGAGCACAAAAGCTCAAGGACAGCACTCAGGCTCTGAGTTCAAGCCCCAGGATTGGCATTAAAAAAAAAATAATCAAAGATGAATAAACTCAATAGCCATTTGGAGAAAAGAGAGCCAATGGAGAAACAGGCAGATCACAAAAAACAATGGCCTATTTCCTTTTTTTCAAAGATTTTGTAATTCTGAAGAAATCTGTTTTAATGGAGCATGTGTTTTGTGGGTTTTGCTTGGTTGTTTGTTTTTTGTCAGTTCTGGGCTTGAACTCAGGGCCTGGCCAGAGCCACTTTGTACTCAAGACTAGCCCTCTACTTCTTGAGCCATAGCACCACTTCTGGCTTTTTCTGAGTAGTTTATTGGACTTTTCTGCCCAGACAGGCTTTCTAACTGTGATCCTCAGACCTCAGCCTCCTGAATAGCTAGGATTACAGGTGTAAGCCACCAGTGGGCCTGGCTAGGAGGATGTGTTTTATTGGCCCTGGAAGGCAAAATAAAATTACAAACTATCTTGATAAATATGCTGTACACTAAAGAAATTTCCATTTCTTTATAATCATGATAGAAAAATTTTCAAAAATTATGTTGTCTAGGTCAATCTTAAACTAGTAGGCTCCAGTATTCTTCCACCTCAGCCTCCCAAGCAGTTGGACTACATGCAAACTATGGTAAATTCTTAAGGAAGATCACTATATTAAATACCCAAACAATTATTTGAGGAGGAAAGAAGCTTTGAAAGGAACTATCCCTACCGAACAAATGAATATCCTTTATCTGGAAAGACTCGAATTTCCATTATTTGTCCAAATGGTGAGAAAGTCTGACGCATCAGTTGTTCTGTTAAGCAAAAAACAAAACCAGAAGAAACCACACTAAGTTGTGTTAAAAACCTACCAATATTAAGATTCTCAGTTTAAAAGTTAGTATCAAGATGCCACACAATTAAGTTTCTATACCTGTTAGTCCAGAAGTAACACCTCCACAGTATACAGTACAGTTGTTTGGACTAGACTGACTGACAACCTCATCATATGATAGCTGTTTTGTATTTGCTGGGGACAAAAAAAGTTTTATATCTTCAATTCATTAAATAAAATGTTCAGGAAAAAGGTAGCATTAACTACACTACTATAATGGCAATATTTACCTTGATCAAAATACTCATAAAATATAAAAATACATTGATATTACATGAGTTTAGGATTAAACCTCCCCCAAGAATATCTAAAAAAAAAAAAGTACCCAGTATTCTTTATTTAGCAGGAGACTTGATAATAAAGATAATTAGTTAAAGTTACAAAAATGAAAACCAAGTACATTTTTGAATAGTAGTCTTGATTTGCTTCTCATCTATTTCTGCAATAAGTCTCCGGGGACAGCGCTAACATTTAAAATCTAGTGTATTTTTCTCCAAAATTCCACATTTCCTTTTCTTCTCCAATACACCTACACTCATATGTACTCTTTGGAGCTGGAGGTTTTCGAGTTGCCCAGTTAGTTCTGATTTGTCTTCCACCAAGCCATTGACCACCCATCTGTTGAATGGCGTTTTCAGCATCCTGTACCATACATTGAAAATGATAAAGAAACCACAATTAGATGACATTACCAGAAACATTTAGTAGGAAAAACTTGGTGCTTTTTATAAAAGTTTTTGTTAACGAAAATACTTTATAAAAATACACAATATATGATCTGAAAATGCAACAGTGCCTTTTTATTTGTGCATCTTTATCTGATAATAGGCTTTGGAAATGTTATCTGAAAGAGTCCTGAGCACAAAGGTCCTAATGACATAGCTATCACAGAGTTCATGCAACAACTCAGTTTATTACAAATGAAAATTCTTACTTTATATAATCCAACAAGCTTGTTAATAACACTAGTTTTAGGAGATCAGAATAAAAGAATGATATTTATTTTAAGACCTGTGTGTGGGAGCAGTAGATAAATTCTAAAGGAAAAGCCAATAGATGGAGTAAGGAAAAACAAAATAAGCACAAAAGACTAACCAACCTTTAGACTTCTGCTTAAGACTTCAAGAACTGTGCTAGCTTTTACTGAAGTATGAAGATTAGGAAGGAGAAGGGAAGCAGCACCACTTCAGGCCTTTTCTTTGTTCATATTACTGAGGTATCTAACCCAGGGCTTCATGCATGCTAGGCAAGCACTCTACCACTAAGCCACCTTTTGAGTCCCCGCTTCCTTTTTATATAATGCATATAGAACTCTAGCTATAATAAAAACTATACCATGTTTCCTTTTCTCTGAAAAAAACAAGAAATTGCAAACTCATGCAAATGGACATTCACTAAGTATTTGTAGAATGAAAGGACAATTTAAGTGTTTGTGTTCTTTTTTTCCACAGTACTGGAGTTTAAATTCAAAGGCTTGAAAACTCTGCTTTACTTGGCTGGAGCTGAAATTGCTAATTATCAGTAAAATTAAAGCATGGAAGATAAAGGAAAACAAAACAGTTTTTTTTCTTCACTCTTAAAAGTATCATAATACACTTCTGATTGAGCTCACCCATTTATTGAAAAAGGAGACAAAGCCATATCCTTTAGACTTTCCTGTTGCCATGTCTTTTACTACTCGGGCATCTCTGGAAACAGAAACAATAGAAACTATGATTTGTAAACTTTTCTGTGGATATAAAATGAAAATTTCATGTACAACTAATTTTCATGTTTCATCATCATTAAAAATGGACCTTTAATCTAAAGTCACCTTCTACTCTATGAAACTTAAGTACTGACAAATGAGGCTTAATTCTGAAGATACGCAAATCAGTAGCTTTTAAAATACAAGCATGTATTATATATATTTGCCTCTGACTTCAAATTGTTTTTTCTTTAACTTTTAACTACTAAGCATGGTGAAAGTCCCTATATACATCAATTACTTAACCACTATAAGGTTCTTAGGTATATTAAGAGAATGGATTTAACCATGCAATTTATAATTTGGTATTTGACATATTTTACCTAATCATTAAAAATTTAAAATAGGAAACTGGAAACTAAAAGAAAAAGTTGTACTGTCCATAAATGATTTAATTTTCTCAGGTCAGTTTGTACCACCTTTTTGGGCTAGAGTAAATTTTAAGAAATGGACATTTCATTTCAGAAATGTTAAGTCATTAAAAAAAAACACTAGACACACACGTTATGTTTAAAAGAATAGAAAAGATTTTACATTAAATTTTATAACAACATTCATATTAAGATTGATTGGAAACCAAAAGATATAACAGCAAAATTTTTAAAAGTCAGAAAGTAAAAAAGCACGCCAACATTTATCCACTGTGAACCGTAGCTTGTAGTTAGCCAGGGCAATTCTGTCCATTCTTCAGAGATACTCTGCAAAATAACCAGAGCCCTATTATTTGAGATTGAGTAAAAACCCAGCCATGATAGCTAAACTCCATACCTAAAAAATTGGACGTAAAGTGTGCTTTACAGACAATCTGCTTTTAAGTTTAGCCAGGTATGACACAATGCTTAATCTTTTAGGACACATGAATAAAACAGGTACTTTTTACAACAAGAAACCAAGTCAGAAAACCATGCAATGAAATGCTATTATTAATGAAAGTATACATAAGCATATTTTAGATCAATTTAGGAATGATTTATTAAACACAGTCAAAATGATTGAGATGCTGAGGAAAAGCAAAAATTAATGTCACTTTTGAACACAAATGTTTATTTTTTAATTAAACATTCCCTTTAAACACAAGGAATGAATTCTAAACCTTCATAAAGATGAATTAAAAATGAAATCCCTCCAGTATAATGTCACTTTTGAGTATGTAAAAATATTTGTTATGTGTATGATACACATGCATTTAACTTCATAACTGACTCACTAGTATATTACAACTTGCTAAATTACCCTAAACTCAACAAAAACAAAGTGCTTGATCTATTATTTCAATAGGTTGCTATTTATTAAACTTCTTCCATATATCAGGCATTATTGTGGGCACCCTACAGAGAACATCTTCTGATTATCATGAGAACCCTTTGACATATACTTATCAACTTATCTCCTTTGACAACCCCAAAACAAGTAGACAAACAAAACTAGAAAAGCATGCTATTAATATTTATTCCTTGTATATGATCTCAACTTAAAGAAAGGCCTTACTAAAAAAGAGAATGTACATTCAACAATGTAGAATCCTAAGGGAATCAACAAGTTAATAATATGATGCCAACATATCTATCAAAAAGAAACTGATTCAAATGGGGGCATGGCAAGGCAAGTGCAGAAATCCTGAGTTCAAACCTCAATACTGCCAAAAAAGAAACAAAGGAAAAAAGAGGGGAGGGGAACTGGGAGGGAGAGTAGGATGGGAAGAAAAAAAGGATAGAAAGTAGAGAAGAAAATGATAGTAAAAGTTATAAAATTGCTTTTTTTTTTTTTTTTTAAGTTTTTGATCAGTTGTGGGGCTTGAACTCGGCCTGGGCTCTGTCCCTCAGCTCTTCAGCTCAAGGCTAACATTCTACCACTTGAGCTACAGATCCACTTCCAGTTTTCTGGTGGTTAATTGGAGATAAGAGTCTCATGGCCTTTCCTGCTGGTCTGGCTTTGAAGAGACCCTCAGATCTCAGCCTCCTTGAGTAGCTAAGCTTACAGGCGTGAGCCACTGGTGCCCGACAAAATTGCTAAAATTTAAAGGTCACAATCTGTCTAATCTAAAACTAAAATTCCTATTTTCAGAAAAGCTACTTTGAGCAAGTAAAAGTTTACCAAATCAGTGACTTCAGTTTTTCAAACTGAAGTCGGGGGGTCAGTTGTGGGGCTTGAACACTGGGCTTGGGCACTGTCCCTTAGCTATTCAGCTCAAGGGAGTACTCTACCACTGATGCCCCAATGTTACTTCTGGTATTCTGGTGGTTAATTGGAGATAAGAGTCTCACAGATTTTCCTGCCCGGGCTGGCTTTGAACCCTGACCCTTAGGTCTCAGCCTCCTGAGTAGCTAGGATTACAGGCGTGAGCCATTCGTACCCAGCTGAAAAAGTGTTTGTCATTTTAAAGCTTCATGAAATGTCTGCTTGCAAAAATGTTTAACTTTTACTTGTTTCTCTTTGAAAAGATTCTATGAAAAAGAATCAGCAAAGATCTAGATTCTTAAACCTTTAATGGTTCTGTGACTACTGAGGGTAAGATGTAAGTTATAGATTATCTGAAAAATAAGCATTACTGAAAATTTAAAATAGATTAAGAGGAATAATAACAAAAATAAAACTATTTTCTTGAGCTGGGTGCTGGTGGCTCATACCTGTGATTCTAGCTAATCTGAAGGCTGAGATCTGAGGATGGCAGTTCAAAACCAGCCTAGGCAGAAATGTCCATGACTCTTATCTTAATAAACTACTCAGAAAAAGCTAGAAGTGGGGCTGGGAAGGTGGCTCAGTGGTAGAGCACTTGCCTTGCATGCTCAAGGCCCTGGGTTCGATTCCTCAGCACCACATAAGCAAAAAGAAAAAAGCCGGAAGTGGCGCTGTGGCTCAAGTGGTAGAGCGCTAGCTTTGAGCTGAAGAGCTGAGGGACAGTGCCCAGGCCCAGAGTTCAGGCCCCATGACCGGACCCAAAAAAAAAAAAAAAAAAAGCTAGAAGTGATGTTATGGCTTAAGTGGTACAGCACTAGCATTTAGCAAAAGAAGGTCAGGGACAGAACCAAAGCTCTGAGTTCAAGCCCTAGAACTGATAGGAAAACAAACAAAAAACAATTAAAACAACACTTATTTTCTTTTATTAGTGCTCAAGGAAAAATGTCATTTATAAGCCCTAATCCTGTTAAACTTAAAGTTGGTCACTCTCTTATCACTACACATTGCTATTTTCTTTTCAACAAACTGCAACTCTTCAAATAAAAACTCCAAAAACCCATCATCAACACTATTCCATTTACTTTCCAATCCCCTCATTTCTACTGCTCATCTGTTCAAACCAAACCATAGCTAGCATTTCCTTTCTATTATTCCCTTAGTTGAAATAATAATGCAACCAGAAACTAAAACAAATTTCTAAATTCAACAATCAGTTCTAAAAAAACTATTGAAAGTTCTTGTATAAGTAACTAGAGTAAGACATTTACAAAGGACCTAAAATGTATGATGGATATCAAATGCAAGAAAAGTCAGTGCTTTATAAAATGTCATATGGGGCTGGGAATGTAGCTTAGTGGTAGAGTGCTTGCCTAGCACTGAAGCCTGGGTTCGATTCCTCAGTACCACATAAACAGAAAACGCTGGAAGTGGTCCTGTGGCTCTAGTGGTAGAGAGCTAGCCTTGAGCAAAAGAAGCTCAGGGACAGTGGCCAGGCCGAGTTCAAACCCCAGGACTGGCAAAAATAAACAAAATACCATATGGCACTGTTAATGTTAATAATTCTTTCTTTTTTAAAAAAAGGCAAATGGCAGGGCTGGGAAGGTGGCTTAGTGGTAGAGCACTTGCCTTGCATGCATAAGGCCCTGGGTTCGATTCCTCAGCACCACATAAGCAAGAAAAAAGACAGAAGTGGCGCTGTGGCTCAAGTAGTAGAGCACTAGCTTTGAGCTGAAGAGCTGAGGGACAGTGCCCAGGCCTAGAGTTCAGGCTCCAGGACCGGACCCCCCACCCCCACCCCCCAAAAAAGGCAAATGGCAAAGAAATAACATTTAGCAACTGTTTTTTAGATTGGAATTGTTAGTTGTTGTTTGTTTTGGTTGAACTGTATTAAAACAGAATGCATGATATAAAAAGTACTAGAATAATTCCTTAGTTCAATTATAACACCATTACTAAAGATTATTATTGAGCTAACAAGAGACCTATGTAAGACACTGGAATATGTACAATAGCAAATTAATCTTAAAAACTACTAGCAAACAGGATGTTAAGACAATTAAAGATCAAAGATTTATTCATTGAAGGGAAAGCAACTTTTGCTATTAACCTCTTGGATGACTGCTAAACAAAGTAATATATTATATCAAATTTTAAAACTACTGTTCCAAAATCACAATAGATTTTCAGATTACTTCTATATAAAATTATTTTTAATTGAAAATATTGTATTTATCTTCTGTTACTTACGATATTCTTCCAAATGGTGCAAAAGCTGCTTTTATATCTTCAGTTGTAATTTCAGGACTGAGATCACCAACGAACACATGGAAATGATCTTATAAAGGGAAGGAAGGGGAAGTGAAAAGAATAATAGAACTTTAGAATTCAAAAAATATTAAAACTGATCAAGTACTCAAAATAATGTATTGATTATAATAAAACACTAACCTCTCTATAAAAATCTATCAATTTCAAACATAACAAATTATGTAACAATACAGAAAATATGCTTCTAAATAACTATGATACAGCTAACTTGCAACTAATTGATAGTTACATTTCTATTTACACTTAACTGTTATACTGGTCTAAAAAATAAACTAGTACTATATAAACAAGTTTCAGTTCTGCAAAAATTTAAGTATTTAGTTTTTGTTCTAATAGTATGTCTTTTGCATTTTACCACTATATTCAGGTTTTACAAATTACAATAGGATAGTGGTACTGTGATCTATGTAGACTAGATTTACCTCAGCTAAGGCAACTCACTGAAGCTAGCTATGTGATATACTTGGCTTAACCATAGTTTGTGAAGAACAATCAAAGAAATACCTTGCATTGCAACAGTTTGATGTTAAAGTATTTGACAGTTTTCTCAAAAGCCAACAGTTTTGGTTGCCCAGACATTACACCATTCAGTTTATGTGAATCCATGTGCAAGTGAACTAAGACTGAAGGCAACAGAATGAAAACAGTAATCCCTTCACTTTATATCAGAACCATTAAAAAAGCATCGGAGAAAAGTATCATCCCATATGTGAAGTTTTTTTTTTTTTAAGACAGTTCTCAAAAAAAGAAACATTTAAGAAATGCAAGTCTTTTGATGACTACTTAAAAACAGACACACACACACACATACACACACTCATATACACACACACATCAAATTTGACAAAGTACATTTGGAAAGAAAAGTTACCCCTATTTGGCAGGCCTTAAGCAACATATTGGGTTGCTCTTCGGAAAACACTGTTTCAGGAGCAACTCGAGCACTTGGAAGATGTGGGTATGAAGCCCAGGTGACCTCAGGGAAGTAAGGTATCTTGCCCTTTAGATGGTGAAAGTATTTCTAAGACACCAGCTGCTATCAAGGGGGACAGAGAGCTTGAACTAGCAACAAAATAGTGGATAAGCCACACTTGGTCAACACTGGGAAGAAGGGGGAAAAATATTGCCAAAGAGACAAATAGAAATACTACCTCCTCCCACCCGCCGCCCCCCACAGTATCAAACAAAAACTTCAGGTGGTTAGTGAATACCCTTTGAAGAGATTTCATTTTATGTTTAAGAAGATACAATTACCTTGTGAACGCTGTGTGCTGACAACGGTACTACCTGATGACAAAGATTAGATTTGTTCTTAAATTTATTAACACAAACACATTAAATCATATCTTAGGATAATGATCAAAACATTACTGCAAACATGTATGTTTATATGCTTTATAATAAAACTATTGGGTATAATAAAAAAATAAGTTCAGAGAGTTTAAAATATACTTACTGCTTGTGTCTTTCTTTTGACTGCTGGGGGTAGTTGCCCAATTCACTTTGACTTCCTAAAAAATGTTTTTGCATTTATATTCCACAAAATAAAAAGCTCAAAATCAGATTTTCATTTATAAACACACAGAATTTCAGGGGATACTAGCTCTGTCCAAAGTTTCAATGCTTATCTTTTAATTTACATTTATGCAAATAACTTTAACAAATCCTAATCTTTATACATTTTAGTTAATGTTCAAATAACCTAGTTTACAGGTACTACTACATTCCCCCCCTTCATCCTTCCTCATTGGCATCCAATGTTACTAGATGTTCTATCCAAGTTGAATAACTCAAGAAATATTGTAGTATTTACCATGTGTAAAGTATCATGGAAAATACCAACATAAGCATGGGTTTTCTGGTCTCTAAAAGCTTTATCTCACTGTTTCAATGTTAAATATGACTGACCATTTGCTTTATATAAAGTTGTTTCTGGCCGCCAGTGGCTCATGCCTTTAATCTTAGTTACTTGGAAGACTGAGATCTGAGGATCGCAGTTCAAAGCTAGTCCAGGCAGGAAAGTCGGTGAGACTTTTTTAATTTAAATTTTATTGTAAAGGTGATATATAGAGGGGCCAAGTTACATAAGTGAGGCAATGAGCACATTTCTCCTTGAGCAGTGTTACCCCCTCTCCCTCCCAAGTTGTAAAGTTCATTTTCAGTGAGTATCACTGCTGAATTGGTTCACCCTTTTCTTTGTCCCACTGTTTCTGTGATTCTCCTTCCCTTCCCCAAATGAGATAAACATATATACAAGATAAAGGGTATAGGATTAAAAAAAATGACATCAGGGAATAAACCAAAGGAAAAAAAATAAGGAAAAAAGAAATAGCTGCAAACAGTACAATAAAAAAAACCCAAAAACCTCTTGTTTCCATTTCTTGGAGTTCATTTTGATAAGCATTATTTTATATGGTCATATGCAAACAGCTATTGAGCCACTGTGATCCTCTCCTCTAGACATTCTAGTTATTACAAATGAGGGAAACCACACAGCCTATGCTTCTTTGGGTCTGGCTTGTCTTTCCATTTACTTACAAATGGAGCAATGTCATTCTTTTTGATGGAAGCATAGAATTCCATTGTTTGGGGCTGGGAAGGTGGCTCAGTGGTAGAGTGCTTGCCTTGCATGCATGAGGCCGTGGGTTCGATTCCTCAGCACCACATAAGCAGAAAAGGCTGGAAGTAGCGCTGTGGCTCAAGTGGTAGAGCGCTAGCCTTGAGCTGAAGAGCTGAGGGACAGCACCCAGGCCCAGAGTTCAGGCCCCACGGCCAAAAAA